GAAATAAGAACAAATAACTATAAAGTAGAAAATAAGATGGTTTTTAATCGGTAGTAATGGCTCATTTATTAAAATTAAGCACTCTTCCAATATAAATTGATTGAAGGCTTTTTCTTTGTCAGCTCTTGCTTTTTTCTAATTATTTATTCTTTTAATTTGATTTTTAGGTTATGCAAATAATTTATTGCATGTTTGCTTTTTTCATTTATCAAAACCAAACATATTCATAAAATAAATTTAAACTCAAAAATAAAAAAATGCACATGATATTAAATTGTACAATGTACAATTACAAATTTTTATTTACCTAAATTTTCAAAATAAATTTAGATATTAATACAGAATTTATAAGTTTGTCCATGGGAGCCTGCAAGACACGAAGCTAGTGTAAAAACTAAAATTGGATAGGCACCACAGGTGCCTATGTACAATGATTTTAGGGTTGGTAACCATGTATTTTAGGGTTTAGCTACAGTAGAAATTGTCCTGATGTTATTACTTTGGTCCTTCAATTTCAACGTTTGTTTACAATGGTGCACAAACTTCACCTGTCTTGTGATTCAAATGTACAGGGAGGAGAGAGAGTCGGGGAGAGAGAAAAATCTGACAAGGTCTTTTTTGGCCACTTAATCATGCAATCTTGGAGAACATTTTTGTTCGTCTTGCAAGAAAAATCTGTTTTCCGTGATTTCAACTTCCCAAATGGTAGGGATAAAAAAAAATATCAAGGTCCATAAAAACCAATGTAATTTTGAATTTAATTTGGTTTTTAGGGTGTTGAGAGTAGATTAAAATGTGTTTTCAGGTTAGAAAAATCTCTTGATTTTCCAACGACCAAGTGGTCACCGAAAGTTACGACTGGTGACGATGTATCTACCTCACATGCGACACATTGTCTGTCTCTCTCCATTTTTTTCAAACATGTGCGAACGCGCACTTCTAGCCCAATCGTGCAACCCTAACACGCGCACATTCCCATATTTTGTTTTTTTTCTTTGTTTTTTTTTTCACTTTATGTTATTTGTTCAAAATCAAAATTTTTCGCAATATCATAGAGGATTAATCATTAATTTAAAATATTTCATACAATCTTGCAAAAAATAATGATGATTGTTTCCATAGTTTTCATTTTTTGTGTTTTGTTTCTTAAATTAATGTCAGTAGTTATAATAGTAAAAAAATGATTTTTCTTATAATTTTATAAAAAATAATGATTAATTACAAATTTTTTTATAATAATATATGACTAATAATTAATCATTTTAAAATGCATAATTTTCAAAATATTTGCAATAACACCAAAATAGAATTGATGTAACACCTGGTTTATTATTATTATTATTATTTGGTAAAAAATTCAACATTGTCAATATATTAGCATTTAAAAAGAAGAAATTAAATAACTAGGATTCAATAGTTAAAAGTTTATTATTTTATAGTTTCAACTGATTATACCTCACTTTAAAGTTAATTATAATTTGAATTTTTCAACATGTCTCAAAAGTTTGATTCCTTATTCTTTTGAAGTGGTATAAACACATCAAATCATTAATTATAGGGATGACAGTGAGTCGGATACAAAATGAGTACCCTACCCAGCTGGTTTATTAATTATCCTTTTAAAATACCCTAGGGAGCAATGGGCTAAATATGGATTAGATAGTGTTATCCATTTATGTTAATGGATAATTTATTCATGAATATGAGTATCATCTTTTTATCCTATTAATACTTATCTTTTACCCATTAACATAAAAAATACTAAAATATAAAATTTTAAAATAAACAAAAGAAAGGGAGAAAAAAGTATGTTCCTTTGTTTTTGGTGATCAAAATTTCTCAAAGACCATTTTTAATAACTATTAGTTGTCGGTTTTGATTTTCTTCGGACAAAAATTTAAAACAAACAAATTTTCTCAGTTTTTGTTTTTAATATTTTGAAAACGAAAACCACGACCTTGTTTTTTTTTTTTTTGTTGGTACAATTATATATACAAAGGAGAATATTAATTAAAGCCAAACCGAATATTTGTGAATTAATCAATATTTTTTATCTTAAAAACTAATTATATAGTCTTATTGATTAGTGTTGAAAATATTTGATTTAATATTATTTTATTATAAAACTATTTTTTCTCATCAATTTTCCATAATATCTATTTATTTATTTTTCTTTTTTTAGTAAATTCAAAAATTACTTGCGTAGCACGTGGATTGATGTAAAAAGCAGATCGAAGGGACCGAAGTTGATTAATTCAAAGATCACTGGAATTTATTGGATGCACCAAAGAATATAATTTGGAAACATGTATTTTACAATAAGGCTTTCTTATAGCTATTCCGAGAACATAACCATGTTACTCATGTGCCTACCGACATAAGATTGCTCATCTGAAACAAGTGTCAATTTTGAGAATATATATTAAAAAAAAACTATTTCAAGTTTTTTTTTTTTAATCTTTCTTGATTAAGAAAAAAACTTTGTATTAAAAAAAATTAAATAATGATTTGGAAGATAGTCCAACTCGTAAATCTTAATTTACTTTAACAACCATTTCATATTAATTAATTTCATCATTTCAGTAAAAAAAAAATTGAAAAAACAATCTTCAATTTAAAGAAAAAAAATTAACGGGTAAAAAGGTATGGACATCGTATGAGCAAGGTATAATATAATGGGTATAGACAAAGTAGAAAAATGGATAAATTATTTTTAGTGGATAATGGGTATAGTATTTTTTAGTAAGTAGGGTAAGAGATTAGCTTAATGGGCTGGGCACCTGGCCATTGCGATCCTTAATTAATTCCTTAATCAAATCATTTGTTTGTGTGGACTTATGAATGAAATTGAAATAATGGAACTTAATCAAGTACCCGTCTAATGTAAGTTGCTCTGCCACTTTTTGGACGTCGATTTTTGCTTTTTTCTAACTATCGACTCTTTTTGTTAGAATTTTGATAAAATATTTTAATGATCAAAGTCAAGCACAACCGTAAAACAATATTCAAACTTACAACAAAAGGCGTATTAAAAACTTCTAAAACTAATATTGATTGATTTTAATTTCATTCACTTAAATTTTCATGATTAATTAAAAAATTTTAGAAGGTTATCTTCGACAATGAACAGGGGTCTAACTAATAAAAAAATTTAATTTAGATAAGCACAGAGAGAGGCTTAAGTACATTAAAAATAGGCATGTTTGATGGGACCTAGCTATGATATGGGATGGGGTGACTATTTAGGTATTTTGGTAAAACATGCACATTGATCCTTGACTTTTGAGATTGTCTAAAGTGGTTCGTAGACATCATTTGTCTTAAAATTTGGTTTCTAAGTGTAGAAAAAAAAAAAAAAAAAACCTTCGACAGGTTACTTTTCGATCATTAAATTCGACAATTTTGGTGTTTGTTTATTCGTCTTTTTAAGGAGAGTTTGTTGGAAAACAAAAATCGAGGCTCAGAAAAAGAATTAGAATATTGTTTGTTTTTAAGAGTTTCTATGTGAATTAAAATGTCTTTTATATATATATATATATATATATATATATATATATATAAAAGAGTTTCTATGTAAAAGAAGAAGGCACTCCCACCAAAGCCCTTTGGAAGTTTATTCTGTGAGAGGCCTGACAAGGGCGCGTTCAGATTCATAGTGGAAAAAAAGTAATTTTATAATACATTAGGAGTAACTAATAGTATGTACATTAGTTACTTCATGAGCTCATTTTGAAGAGAGATAGACACAAAAAAGAGAAAGAAAAGTAGAAGAGAGAAAATAAAAAAATTTGAGCGGACGTGGAAATCTTCTTATCACTTTTAGTAGGCATAGATGTAATTTCATTATTATTTTTTGTATCTATCTCTCTCCGTAAAGTGAACTCATGGAGTGACTACTTATACATACTACTGAGTTACTCCTAATGTATTATAAAATTTGTGGCGGAAAAAGTGTAGCAGAGATTGAATGGAGGGAAAGTCCAGGGCGCGCACGTGGGCTTAGCACACTCCCAGGCCCATATGTCTTCATTTTTCCTTTTCTTCTTTAATTTTCTTTTTCTTTCGTTTTGTTTTCTTAATATTTTTTCCATTTTTTATTATTTTCTCAAAATCAAAATTTCTCCAATATTATAGAGAATTATTATTATTATTATATTTTTCATAAAATCTTATAAAAAGATAACGATGATTTTCCTTAATTTTGACCCCTTTGTGATTTTTTTTAAATGTTATTTCAAAAAATAATGATTGTCTACACAACCTTACAAAAACTAATGATTAATTAAAAAATGAAAAATAATAACGGTTTGATAATTAATGATTAATCAAAATAAGCAGCATGATTCTCAAAAAAGTTTATAGTAATATGGAGTTGATATAACATCAATATTTTTTAAAAAAAGTATCAGTACTGTCAATAACTTAGCATTTTGAAGAGAAAAAAATGGATTTAATAGTTAGTAATTTTCTTCTTTTGGTTTATATTAATTTCAATTGATTATAACTGATTATAATTATTCAACGTATTTCAAACATATGATTCCTTTTCTTTTTTTTTAATTGAATAAACACATCAAATTAATAATTCATCGCTTAACTGTATATTTGCTTATGTAAATTTATAATTAAATTTGAATTAATGAATTTAATGTTCAGAATTATATCCATATGCATTAAAAGAAAATGAAAGTTTTAGCTATAAAGTAGAGACTAATGTGATTTTTAATCAATAATTACGAACTCATCAACCATCCCTTTAATAGAATATAGATTATTAATATATATATATATATATATCCAAAAATCATTCGAGAAGGATGATTCTCGTCATTTAAAAAACTGTCTGATCTGATCTGGTACAGTAGGGTGGAGGAGGAAAAGGGAATATCGTGGTTGGCACGGTACAATCATACAGCCAAACCAGCCACAAAAATTAGCAATGACCGAAAACAAAACCAATCGGTAAGTAATGAGAGGTCGAGGCGGCGGTGAGTGGCCGGTCAAGCAAATGCATTAGTTTCAGTTTCTGCACGAACCATAGTAGCATACACTCCATTAAGATGCGAATTCAAGAGTGCATCATGACTACCATACTCCACCACTGCCCCTTCTTTCACCACGCCAATCATATCAGCTTCTCTAATGGTAGAAAGCCTGTGCGCCACTATAATAGTTGTTGCCCTCTTAGAGATCTTCTTTAGTGCCTTTTGGACGTGTTTCTCTGATTCCAAGTCCAACGCACTGCTTGCTTCATCTAGCAGCAGCACCCTTGATCTCTTCAGAATTGCCCTCGCTATTGCTATTCTTTGTTTTTGGCCACCAGATAGTTGAACCCCACTCTCTCCTACCTGTATTAATTATACATTAATAATATCAAATAATTCACGAGAATGTGCAGAGTCAATCAATGTAGGCAGTAAGAAATAGATATAAGATCCTTGTGACTTCAAAATTTAAACGATACCCGAGTTTCATAGCCTTGAGGGAGGCTACTGATGAAGTCGTGAATGTAAGCTTCACTTGCAGCCTCCTCGATCTCAGCCCATGAAGCATTAGGATTTCCAAATGCAATGTTTTCTCTTATACTACCAGCAAACAACGCAGGCTCTTGACCAACCAAAGCTGTTTGACTCCTTAACCACTTGACATTCAACTCCCTCAGATCCACCCCTCCCATCGTCACCTTCCCTTGATTAGGATCATAAAACCTTTGTATCAACCATACAACAGTTGATTTTCCTGACCCACTACCCCCAACTAAGGCCACCATGCTACCACCTTTGATCTTTAAGCAAAAATCCCTCAACACAATAATCTCAGGCCTAGAGGGGTATGCAAAAGTTACCATCTTCAGCTCAATGTCCAATAGGTTCGATCTATCTACTTTTTTACCTCTGTCCTGATCGCTACCAATCAATGGCCTTCGATGAATGATATTGAATATAGCAGGAATTGCTGTTGCAGCCATGGAAGTATCTGGCGCTAGCCCTGCTAGTTGTCCAACGGAAAACGAACTTAGCACAAGAATGAGGAAAATCTTATATACCTCACCAATGTTTGCATCGCCTTCTCTTACAAGGTAGGCACCAAACCATAGTGTTAAGGTATATGCACCATACATTGCCCCTTGAAAAAATCCGAGTGTTAGGCCTAGAACTAGCGACCTTCTCACTGATTTCTTCTTGGGTTCAGCCAGGGCTCTATCAAAGGACTTCACTATTTGGTCTTGAGCGGAGAAGGTTGTTACTGTTCTTATACTTGAAACAGCACCAGCAGCAATTGTGCTAGCTTTGGCATAGGAGCTATTATCTAGTTTTGGTCCTACGTTTATGATCAAACTCAGGTAGCTAGCACCTAGAGTAAAAGGAGTTAGTGCAGCCGCCAAAAGAGTCAATCGCCATTGAAGATAAAATGACAGACCAAGACCAACAGCAGCCGAACTTAAACCCATTAACAAGACTGAGAATCTATCACCAAGAATGGATCGGAAACTGATACAATCAATTGAGAGCTTTGAAACAAGCACTCCTATGGAATTTTCTTCGAAATCAAACCATCCAGGTTCTTGCTTTAGTATAGATCGAAATAAGAGGTCCCGTATTCTCAAGGTAAGTTTAGTTCCTGCCCATCCGCATAAACCTTGCTGGCCTGTCATGGAAATAATGCAACCAAATCCAAGGCCTACAAGTATTAAACAGAGGTGGCCAACATCTTTCTTCAGTTTTGATTTGTCGCTGTCGAAGTAGATTTGAAGAGCTTGGCCTAGAAGGTAAGGAAAGACTGAAAGTATTGCACCCGCATGCATACCCAAAAGAAAGCCCAGTAGAAGCTTGACAATCTCTGGTCTCTGAAGACCCCAAATTTTTGAGAGTTGATAATTTCTTGGCTTTGCATTTTCCTGCATTTCCTCCTCTTGAAGATTCTCTACTTGCAATGATTTTAAGTAATTTGATTTTGAGGTTTCAAATGCATTCTTAGATCTCAAATCAGCAGATTTCTCGTACGTAGAGAACTCGGTATCCTTGGAAGCTTCCTTCTGTTTCGATGCAGGTTTTGAAACTGCTTCAGAGGCAAGTTTGACAAGGGCATAGTAGGCACCAGCATTTTCCATTAGCTGGAGATGGTCGCCACTTTCAACTACAGAGCCTTGATCAAGAACAACAATGGTGTTGACATTTCTTACGGTCGCTAGCCTATGAGCAATGACAATGGTTGTTCTGCTTGTGGAAATCTTATCAATGGCTTGCTGGACGACAGATTCAGACTGTGGGTCGAGGGCACTGGTGGGCTCATCTAAGAGAAGGATTCTAGGATTCTTAATCATAGCTCTAGCTAGTGCAATTCTCTGTTTTTGCCCCCTGAGAGTTGGGTTCCCCTGTCTCCAACCTGTCCATAAGTAGTTTTCCTGGTAAGAATTAAACCATATGTGCTTGTGCAGATATTGTACTGTAATTTCAAAAGAATGCAACAATATGGTTGTGATAGTTCCAAGCCACCTGAGTGTCATAACCAAAAGGAAGATCAGAGATAAAGCTGTGAGCATTGGCAGCAATGCAAGCATTGATTGCTTCTTTCTTTGTGGCATTCTCCTTTCCCATCATCACATTTTCTAGTATGCTGGTGGCAAACAGAGCTGGCTCCTGCCCAACCATGCCCACTTGACCTCTTAGCCACTTGACTTGCAGTGTCTTCAGGTCATTACCGTCCAAGGTTACTACTCCTGCAATAATATGAAGAACTCATCCCTATTAGAGGTTCCATATTAGCTCCTTAATAATCATTGATATAGCCTCCACTTCTGAGCCAATTCCAAAATGAAATGATTACGACGACGAGGAGCTTACCATGGATGGGGTCATAGAACCTCTCTATGAGAGCAAATATGGTGGACTTGCCACCTCCACTAGCACCAACCAATGCAAGAGTCTTTGCGGATGGAATAACTAGATTGAGAGAGCGGAGAATTACAGTTTCAGGACGAGATGGGTAAGCGAAAGTAACGCCTTTGAACTCGATCCTTCCACGGACACTTGACAGTACCCTCCCATGGGGACTGTAAGGATCTATATCAGGAATTCTGTCTATGATTTCATATACTCTGGTTGCTGCTACTGTGCCTTGCGCGAATTGAGCAAAATATGATAGTGACAATGCCAAACCTCTGTCACAAAAATTCATATGAAAATTCATGCCTGTGTTCACGCTTCTAGAGTTAAAGGCTGGAAAATATTAAAAATGTCACTGGCAAACAAACATGCAGACATTATTTGATGACAACAGAATTTATGATATGATTACCTTCCCCCTACATTGACACCAAAGAAGCAAGCTATGGCATCACCTCCCCTTATCTCACCCCTCGCAACCAGGATACCTCCATACCAGAAGGCCAATGCCCATGTTGAATAGGTAACCAAGTAAATAACTCCCATTCCTGCACCCTTAGCAAACCCAATCTTTGCGCCGATAGGCACCGACATCATCAATAGATCAGCATATTTCTTGGCCAAATTATCTTCGGCAACAAAAGAAAACACAGTTCTAATCGAACTAATTGCCTGCTCAGCTATGCCACCAGCTTGTCGATAAGAAGCCTACCATTTAGAACAAGCCAAAAACAAATTGTCGACAATATTCTTCTCAGTAATCAATATAATGCATATTGGAGTCCTTTAACTTAGTGTCATACCTCTTCTTTCGTAGCTAGACCGACATAAATGGCCTTGTAAGCAATGCCACAGAACATCGTCAATGGAGTTACTGAGAAGACCACCAGAGATACCTTCCATGACCTTATGAACCCGACTGCGTAACCGCAAATGAACGTAAATATATGATGAATAAAATGTGCCATCTGCAAACAGGTTTCAAAAAGCCACTGCATATCAGTACTAATAGTCTACCAAAATCTAGTCAAAAGCAATTTAGATTGTAGCCGGCCTAGTTCCCTGAAAGAACACACTGCAGGGTTAAATTATGGGCAAATTAAGAGCATAAAATTAATGCTTTAAGCAAACTGTAATGATAAAGTAATCACATTAATGTATTACATATATTCCAAACAAATAATAAAAGAAAGGAAAACGAGGATCGACCTTCTCCCCCATCACTTCTTGGATTTGTGCAACATCACTTGAAATTCCATGCATAATATCACTGGTGCTGACTTGCGTATCATAGAAAGTGATGTCTTGCCTTAGAACTGCTCTTAGATACATGTTTCTTATTCGATGAGCTGATCGTTCCCCAACCAATCTCCAGCAAGTGATTTCTGTTTCACCCAAAATTATATATATCATTATTATGTTTAGGCAAAGTGATCAATGTCAATCTACTTAACGATCAAGACACTGTTGTAAAACTATAAAATGGATAACAACAAAGTAAATTGCTGATGCTGTTGTTACTCAATGTTCATTTAATAATCTCCAAATTACCTAAATAGGCTCCAACAACAACTCCTGCTGCTAGTCCAGTCATAAGCAGACATATCTGCCATTACAAATGGAATACATAAAAATAAATAAATAATCAAAACAAAAGATGAAATCAATGTGCAACTGAAACAAATGTTTTTAAGGCATCAAAACATTCTCCGTGCAATATTGTGGAAGGAGGGGGAAATTGAATGTAAATCCATAATGAAAATGCTTACCCTTGTCACTTCTTTCTTCATTTCGTCATCAGAGTCCTTAGCAATCTTGTTCACAAAATCTCCGAAAAGAAGAGAATACCATGGAAGAGACCCTCCATTTATGAGGGCTCCTAAACAACCCAAAAACACAAGAACCATATCCCATTTTGTTGAGTATTTAAACAGACTAAACAACCCTACTTGCTTTGGTGCTGCTTCTTCGTCATCATCCTCTTCATCGTAATCTTCATCTTCATACTCCGAAGCCCGATTGATGTCATCATATGGATGACGATCAGTAACATAATAATTACTGGTTGATTTATTAGTATCATAAGCACTGAGGAAATCGTCATGTCTGCTAAGGGATAATTCACGACCAGGATGATCGTGCCTGCCATGTGGCATACCATGGTACGATTGACTAACACCATCATCTTCCATATAAGCATGAGACACCGAAAGCCATCTAGAATCATCATGGCCATGGAGATTAGTGTGATCAGTCTGCAATAACTCTCCCTGTTTCTCAACATCCGCGCTGTCATAGTCAATCATGCTAAGCTCATCTTGATCAGCCAAAGGACTTGCATTTCCGCGCGCCCCTCCCCTAATAAACCCCGAGCTTGGGCTTGAAATCCAACGATCATGGGATTTCCTGTAAGCAGCCGAGCTATAATCCCTAAGATGAATTGCTGACCTCTCATTATCTCTAGCAACGTAGCTTTGTAGCTCAAGCCTACCAGCAGGTACAGCAATATAGCTAGATTGATCATAATATGGATTTGTAAAGCTTCTAAACCCACCATGTGTACGTGAAAGATAGTAGTCATTTGCTGATCTTCGAAAAATATGACTATTTGATTGGGTGCTAGCTGCCCATGGGCTAAGAGCTGCTCCCAAGCCGCGGGTATCACTCCACCCTGTGGGCTGAAACTGCCATGAAAGCTCACCTTGCCATGACGTATCATCGTCTGTTGCGAAAGGTGTGGAAGGAGGAGTTTGACGCAGCCTATTTGGAGTAGGTGTAAAGCTTATTTGTGTAAATGAACGTGAATCATACTGTGAGTTAACAGGAGTGCTGGGGTGCCTGCGTTGCCTACGCTGATAACGGTTTCGTGAGCGGCCAGAGGAGTAGTAATCAATTTCGAAGGAGGAATCATCCATGAATGCAAGTAGAAGCGATGGCGTGCAAAATTGGAGCAGAGTTTTAGAGAAAGAAGGTTAGGATTCGGAGAAGAGAGGTAAACAGGCCATTGCAGAAAACAAGAAGGTTGTACAAAAACTATGTGAGTATAGGCTGGTTGTGAGTATCGAGCAGGTTGAGTCAATAAACTTTGATCATGCCGCCTGTTTTTTGTCCTATAATCAAGATACTTATTGGAAGAGAAATCATAAACAATGGATTCATCACCCAAGTTTTGTTGTTTCCTAGTCTTCTCTGGTCACTATATTGCCTGCAACAAGCAGTAATGATAGCCTTTTTTGCTTTACTAATTGTTTTCTAGCTAGTTCTCTTTGTCCCCCCTTGTGGTTTTGACACAATTTGGCTAAGTTTTGACTAGGCTAGGCTTAATTTTAAAGTTCAATTTGACCAAGTTTTATTGCTAGAACTGATGGTATAAGCTGCATCAAATGCGTGAACGCAATAGGCACATGAGAAGATTTGCTGCCAATGCAACAAATGGACGGTTTGATGCACTTCTCGCGAAAAGGGATGGTAAGATGATGCTAGGTCAACAGAAGCCGGCCATTCGAATGCCCATTGAGTGCCAGCGGCCATGCACATATAACTAACGAGATAAGTTGTAATATGAAGGGATATCAAGTTTATTAAGATTCAATTATAAATCCTTACGAGATTTTGTCTTCATATTTCTCCTCTATGATTCTTTTCTTGACCAAGGACAACCTAAATTATGAAAAATGCAGACAACAAATTGTCCTTGTGTAATTATAAGTTGTCTTGCATGCAACGTAATTACAAGTTTACAACATGAACCATAATCCTATTCCACTTGTCACCATAGAATTTAACGAACAGTTGTTTTGTTGATCACATGAACTATACTTTATTACTGTGTTTGGATTTGGTATGTCTTCGACTAATCTATTTTGAGTTGACAATATTAAGAGGGATGTAAATCCTTCAGCCTATCAGCATGCAGAGACATGTGACAAACTTGAAGAACGCCCACTACCTTCCTATGAGCCCAAGCACCAACATAACCGGAACACAGTTTTCCTTGATGACACCAACTGATGTAGCGAAAGCTTCGCTTAGAAGAAGGAACACCGTTGATCTAAAACTCAAATACAAATTATAGATATTGATCTATTACAATATGTTGAATTGCATGTAAATATAAAAAAATAAGCTTCAATTCTATTGATTCAAAAAATGTCAAAAATTGAAATAAAATAGTAACACTCTTATAAAATTTTATTGGTAAAGAAAAGTGATATTTTTCTACCTCTAATTGAGACATAAATAGGAAAAGAAATCCACAAAATCCTAAACCAACTCAAAAAAGAAACAACACAAAAATCCAAAAAAAATAAGAAAAAATCCAGACAATAAAATTCAACTTTAAGAGCCTAAACAGTGTTTTTTTTTACCAAAATCACCCCTAATAAGAAAAAAAATCCAGACAATAAAAATCAACTTTAAGAGCCTAAGCAGTATTTTTTTATCAAAATCACCTCTATATCATGACATGGCTTATGAGTTTTATTCATTAACCCGTTTGTCTTAAAACTAGCCCAAAAAACCTCAGAATTGGACTGATGTTTTTTTTTCGATTCCCACCGCGCTCATCTGCATCACCAGCCTGTGCAAAAGATGCCTATTGTCTACAACAGTATTGACTTCTTTAACATGTATAAGCAATTTCGACAAGAAACAAAATGACATGAACAGAAAGGAGTGGAGAAAACGAGAAGAATGGAAAAATAATATAGTCACTGTATACAAGCTATTGCTCCGCATAATCACATCACTCTCCTTAAGCTGTCAACAACTCTAATTCTGGCAACAGTTTGATTTCTCATATACATCACACATAGCTGGAGAATGAGGAAGAGAAAAAAGAATGCTCCTAGACTACCAAAATCCCAAGACCGCCAGTAGGAGTAGGCGATTTTTGTTCAATACAATATACATCATATTTGAGCATAGCATTCGTATCCTATATATAATCTCTTTACACTATCATTTGAATGACGATCCCAAGAGTAGCTCCAAGCTTTTCTCTTAAGTGACTATCGAAGCTTTGAGTCACTACCCTTGCTTCGGAATGTCGACAATGAGAAGAATGACCGTGGTGCTGTAAAATTTAAAATTTAAATGGGTAAGCAAATCATCATAAATAATCAACTCTAAAACAGAAACTTTACATCAAAGGCTGCTAATCACAGGAGATAAATAAACTAACTTCTTGTAAATATACCATCATAACAATGAAGTTTTCTTCTTTTTTTCCTAGTTTTCTGTTGGATAGCTAGACTGAACATAAAATGTCTTATAGCTCTTGTTAGTAATGGTTTGCAAAGGACTTTAACTGCTTATGTGCAACTCAGACGGTCAGACTCAACTTGGCAAAAATTGATCTAGTTCAACAGATCAAACAGCCAAACATAAGCTTCTTTCTTAAGCTGTCAAACTAAAGGAATCAAATCTGAAAAAGCAACATTCGAGTCACAAATTCCTAACTTTTTCGTCTTTTTTTGTAATGTTGTAGCAATCAAATAGAAACCATGCACATGTGCCATACTAAATGATTAGCTTTGTGCAAGGCAAGTATCCATAGAATGTCTTTCAGGGTATCATAATGCAAGCATTGAATACATGCACATTGATACAAATCTAGTTAGATGCAAGATTGTAAAACCTCCCCCTATCAATCTAAGGTTTTATATAGAACACATGTACATGATTTGTATTTTATTGGTACAACATTACAAACATACACTCACACACACTATGACCCGTTGATTTTCAAGCAGAGCACAGGTCATTGATCACATGCTGGCTTTAACATAAGAGGACAAGCATTAGACCAAGTGACCGTGCCCACAAACAGAACCTACCTCTCAAAACACTTGCAAAGGGGCCTGTAAGAAGATTTTGAATAAAGCATTACCTTGAGTGGCAGTTTCATGTTCCTGAATCCTACATCAATAAGAAACACATGGAAGGCGAATGCCTCCCCTATCATGCAGCTAGTCCCTTAATCGGCCCCATAATCATGGTAGCATTTTAATGATTGCATGCAATTGAAATAGTGACAACAGGCTCAGCTCTACATACTCAATATGTAGTCAATGAGCTAACCATTGGCTTTCTCAAGCTCGTCTTGATCTCAAGTCAAGCAACAGCACAAAACACCAAGGTATTTTGCCAGCTTACCATCTCATCTCAGTAGAAAACATCTTACTTTACCATTACAGTTTCAGGTTCAATTTTGGCAAAATTAGAGAGGCACTAGGAAGAATGGTTTTGGGTAAATGGGGGCTAATTTAAAGCTAATCCGTGCCACTTGCAAGGAAAAGTTTTCTGAAAACACATCAGATAAAGCTGGGAAGTCCTTTAAACATGACTTGATGGAATATTCCAACAGCCTAACATGTCAATCAATTTATTGTAGAGAAATTTAAGAAATGAGTAATATAGAATATTAACAAGAAGAAAACAGTCACCTTTAATAGAGCTTCCAGATACATGATCATCCCTCAATTTGAAGTTTGCTGGAGGTGCTGGTATGGAGCTGTGTAAGGCTTGAACTGCATTAAATGCTAAGGGTCAAGTCATCTACGCAACAAAATTCAGCATTACAATAAGAACTTAACCCAATTAAGAAAACCTAAAGGAAAAGCTCCACATTTGGTGGACTAATATGTGCAATTTGTAAAAGTGCCAGCCAAATCTCTGTTCACCCAAAGGTATTGCATAAAGGACAATTTATACATAAATACACAAGTTTCTGATGAAAAAGATCTAGTGCAAGGCCATGCTCCCTTAATAGACAATTATGTCCAAATCATGCCACTTTAACAACTTCTGGCACATGATGTATTCACATGGGTAATGAGCCAGGGAGTCAACTTAATGACTAACAATAAACTTTCAACATGTAAGCGTAAAAAAAATTGGAGATCCATGCATTAAAGATCAGGCACTGCTTTTTTATGCAGAACGCTCCAGCAATGGTAGAGGTCTTAACAGTAACTGAAACTCTTGAAAAGACAGTAGAGTAGAAAATTTAGTGCAACAAGAATGACAAAAGGAGAGGTTACTCTAAACTACAAGCAGCATTTAGCCACTGCAACTTCCTGACATTCAAATAGAATTGAGATTCAAATTTGTCTATAAATGACATTCAAATAGAATTGAGATTCAAATTTGTCTATAAATCACTTCATGAATCCACAGCCAAGAGAACAAGCCATTATTTCCAATTCATAAAGCTATGGTTGCTAGAACACTGAGGGGTAAATTGACAACCTTGCTACCAGTAGAAATTTTCACTTAAAATAAAAGTTGCGAACACTCACTAAGTTTAATCGTACAAGCATTAAGCAGGTACATAGTAGATTTACGTTCTCAGAAAAGAGAAAAATAATAGTTGACCAATCAGGAAAAACAACTATAGTTTACCTTGCTCATTGAACAACTCACTTTCGTTAAAGCCATCATCTGAAGGATGACCCTGTGAGAATCCCATTCTTGACTTCCTCAAATCTTCTGATGACCGATTGGCAGGATCTCGCCCATCTTCTGTATCATCATCTCCTTCAGAAGTTGTAGCAGAAATCCAGTCAACCAAACTCTCTGCTCCACGACTTTTCCTTCCAAACTTTAGCAACCGTTTGAACCCTTTGGTCACATCCTTGCGAGACTGATTATGCGATGAATTGGAAACAAGAATAGGTTTCTGCGCACTTCCCCACTTCTTCCTCATACGAGCTGCATCCGCCTCTGTTTGGATCAGAGAATGAGAATTCCATGATGCAGGACTCCCAATTGGAGAGTCCACATAAGCATCAATATCTAAGGTCTCATGTGGATAGGAAAATGGATGATGCATGCGCGAGTTCCAGGACACAGGGCTTTCCCCAGGTGATTCCTGCAGAGACCCTACAGCATGGAATGTTGAAGGCACGGATGCAGGCAATTCAGCAACTGAAGAAGGATCAATCTGAGAAATAGATCTCAGAGAATCACCGTTCTCAGATCCAGACATACCCATCTTGTCCGAATCCTGGCTTAGTCTTGGTTTGCCATTATCCATATTAGCACAATCTTCAACCTCTATTATTTCATCTTCTTCCTTTGTTTCATCAACTGAATCTTCTGCCTCAAGGGGTGATTCTTCAAATTCTTCATTTTTTAAAGTCTCAGATGCCACCATAGCTTTCAGTTTGGCAATAGTAGCTCCAGAACCAGGACCTATGCCATTACCCTTCCTGAGGAAAGGTTTTGATTCCGCATTCTTCGAGAATTTGTCATATGGGATCTGCTCAGTCTGCTCTTTATCAAATTTCAATGGTGCCAAAACAACACCATCTGAGTTCAATGGGGGCAAATCCTTAAACTCAATAGGACCAGCAGAGCTTTTCCGCAAGGACTGAGACCGCCGGTTCTTTTCTTCCTTGGCAAGAGGTATCTCCTCACTGGAACTCTTGCTGCGGGAATAGGTTCTCACCTGCGAGCGATTTGCTGCTTTGCTAACTCCAGAATAGGGTTTTGTGTTCTCTTTTCTGAAATCGGAGAAGTTCGGAACAGACTGTGCAAGAGGATTTTCTGACTGTACTCTCCGCCTCCCAGAACTTTGGTTGGAAATTTTCGATGATGACCGTGGAACTGGCGCTACTGTGGTGCGAGGAGTGGATGAAGACAAATTTCTGTTTGGTAAGAGCTTCTTGTTTTGAGCGCTCCTAGGAGCAATGTCTCCTGAAAATGCCTCACTGAATGATCTGTCTTCTCCATAATAATTATGCTCTGGAGACTCAGAAAGATCTTCATCCTCTTCACTCTGAATGAAATCTACTGGCTGTGGTAAAAAGAGAAACCTTACAAAGGAAGCTTTGAAATTCCAACAGGTAAAGAAAACAAAAATCTAACAAAAAATCAAATGTGGACACTTATTATCTTCAACACTTATTTCAGTAGACAATGAAAGATGGAATACCTGTTCTCTCTTCATACTCGAATTAAAATTTAATGATCTGAGCTTTTCTGCACGTCGGCGAGTAGTAGACAATGAATTTTGTCTGTCCACAGAGCTAGAAAATTTTACCTTCATCTCAGCACTACTCTGCTCAAGGCTTTCCTGCATGGCCTTCAACTTGGCTTCCTTCTCCATTCTTTTTGTACCCCACTCCTCCCTCAGTTTTGCATCTCTTTTCTGCATGTACCTCTCATAGAATTTTCCTCTAGAATCATCTGAAAAACTAAGCTCAGAGAAACTCTGCCTCAGAGAACTGCTGTATTCCTGATGATCTACCATCTTTTTTGGTGGAGTGCTAAACTTTCCAATATCACTAGAACTCCCAATTGATTCAAGCGCTGTCTTCTTTTCCTGAAACTGAACAGGAGATATCTCTACTGCTACGGGTTTTCTGTACTGCGAACTTGCTGCCTGTTCAGTTTGCACCTCAGTAGGCTTGCTTCTCCGAGCAGAACTGGATTGATCACCAGGAACGCGAAGTTTATGTTCAGCAAAAAGCTTTTCAAGCTCATTTGCCTTCATCTTCAGCTCATCATTCAGCTCTTGATTCCCCTTAGACTGCCTAAACCTCTGAGCCTGATCTGCTGATGGTACTTGCAGAGTACCAATGCTCTCTTTAGTCTCAGAAAACTTTTTACTGGGAAAGCTCAGCTTGTTGCTTCCAGGAATAGACCCACTCTCATCCCTCCTACCCTGCAGCTTCCTAAATGGTTCTGGACCAGAAGATTGTTTCTGGACCTTCATTCTTGAAGCTTCAAGATCGTCCTCTTTTATCTGTTCAGTGTCCTCCTTCCTTGCATGATCAACTTCACCCTTAAATAATTTCCACTGTGTATGAGAAGCTGACAGATCAAAGTCAGTCACTTTAGTTGGCAATTCCTTACCCTTTGCTCCAAAACCACCTTCAAACTGTCCCGAAAGAGATCGAGTATGCGTCAGAGAAATCCTAGAACTTGACTGACTCAGTGGTTGATCCCTTACTTCAATGTCTTCATTTCTATTCCCAAATTCTAAATCACCAACCCTGCCCGCAAAACTTCCAGTCTCAGTCCGCAGACCAGCCTGGTTTTTCACTGCAACAGTCTCCGCTTTATCTGGAAAACCTCTCGACTTCTCCTGAAAAATCAGTTGAGCTTTTAATCCACCAGTCCTCTCTACCTCGCGTATATTACCCTTCAACTTCTCCTCCCTGACCACCTGATCACCCACGTCAGTCTCCTCCTCTCTACCTGCAGATGACCTCAACTGGGCCAGAGACCGTGCTTGATCTTTCAAATTCACTTTCCCATTGAAATTCACCTCCTTGTCCTTCCCCACAAGCCCACCACCATGAGTTTGAAACTCACCCTGATCTTTCAACCCAAAAACACTCTTAGTCTCCAACTTAACTAAATTTGCTGTACTTGCTGTGTCATTCAAACCCTTCTGGTCCTTATCATCATCTGATGAGACAGGAAACACATTACTTTTGGTTCCAGATACAGAGGACGAAGAAGGTGTACACAAGGGGCTGTCTAAATTGTTGTCATCCCTCTTGTCATTGCCCAAGTCAATGCTCATATCACTTGCACCACTCCATCTCCTCAATACAGACTTTTCAACTGCAGGAGCAGATGACACATCAGATGATAGTCTCCTCAGCTCTGCAGATTTCCCTACAGCTACAGGTTTTCCACCTGAGTTCTCCTTCTGCTTATTCTCAAATAGGTTAATCCTGTCCTGAACGCTGAGTCTCCTAGAAGGTTGGCTTGGTTGACTTGTTGATGACTCAGTCACAGCCTCCTCTTTCTTCTTTTCTTCTTCCTTTTTCTCGTTCAGAATAGTCTGTTGCTGTGTAGGGTGAGAGGAATTGGGTTGTTGACAAGTGGAGGACTTAGATTGGTTAAGGTTGAGTTGGGTTTGTGTCGTATCTAATTGTTGCAGTTCTTGGCCAGCTTGCTGCTGTTGGTGTTTATTTTGGAATGGGTTTTGGTGGGGCCTGGTCATGTAGGACCCACTTTCATCTTCAGCGGGGTCATCAATTGACATGTCAGATCCCCATGAGGACCGGACCACTTGATCCTCCACACTTGGCTTCCATGGATTGGTCAGGTCTGGTCTTCTCCGGCACAGTAACATAAATTTGGTACAAGCCTCACTGCATGAAATATTTAAAACCTTAATTAAATTGTCGTAACAAGAAAAATCTAACTAACTAGAGCTTGAAGGAAATATGGAACTAAGACTTGGGAAAAAAGGGTGGGAAGTGCAAGGAAGTTGGAACTTTTAAAACAGAAAACAACCCTGTAACAGCTAAACCTGCCATATTGTGACAGGTGAAATTAAGAAGATAGGAATGTTTGTCCTTTTTTAATACTTAATAAATTAATTGAGATCTGGTGTCAACTTTTCTCTGTTTTGATAATAAGGTTCCAAATGCTGTGAAGTTTAAACTCTTTTCCTTGCCAATTTAGCTCCAGAATACCACCTGCTTTGTCCTAAATGGTGGGACCAGCAGGGAATAATAAAAGCCAATGTAGGGTCCACAGCCAAATATGTAAATATCTCAAGTTGAAACATTTTAAACATTGCCCAATAGAAAGTACGCATAATGACCGGCCCCAGAGTTCACCAAGGAAATCACTCAACACAATCATGAACAATTTATTTCCTCAAGTGTCCTTGGTACTTTAACCAGTAACCTATGTGGTCCACTTGAAGGAATCCCAACGTTCCAACCCAAAGCACTAAGATTACCAAAAAAAAAAAAAAAAAAGAGTCAGTCACAAGGAATTCTAATGCCAATGGAGAAAAATAACTCCCTAATTCTGGTATGAGCTCAATAAATTTGTAAAACTCACAATTCGAGCTTAAGAGAGAGACTCATGCAACTATACACCTTCATAATCCCAATGAATCACCAGGAGACCTACCTAAATAAGACATCATGCAGGCCATACATCAATCAACTCAATGATATACCATGTTGCACCAGTGAAAAAGATATGAAAAAGAAACATTTTGCAACCATCCAGAAACTTGCGGCTCCCTTTTCATGCACATCATATGATCACTTGCATGCAATTTCTGTCATGCATCGATAAAAAACAATAATGCAGCAATAGCCAACAGTACACGGACACTGCATGGAGTTGCCTGAAACTTTCCCATTTCCCCAGTCAAATCTTAATAACCAGATAATAGAAGCCATGTCTTTCTCTTGCCAATGCATCTAAAATTTTAAATTAAACGTCTCACATTTTTAAAATCCTTGGTGATACTTAATTTTTTAAAGAGCTAAGCAGTCAGATGATGCACCATATTTTAATACTTTAGGCACAATTGTGGACCCTGGCTGCTCTATATCAGTATTGCTCAGCTAAAACAGCTTTGATAAGTCAAATTTGTTTCTTAGGCAGAGAGCCTCAACAAGAGCAACTAAGAAGCACCTAGAAATGACATCTTTTCAATTTCAGGTTCTCGTGGCAGTAAATTCAGATTCATAGCAGATCATGGGTCTGGTATAAAAACTAATTCACATTATAATTTCAGATTTCTTTTTTTTTTTTTTTTTCCTTAAAGAAGACTAATATAGTCATAAATCTTAATAACCAGATAATAGAAGCCACGTCTTTGTCTTGCCAATGCATCTGAATTTTAAATTAAATGTTTCACATTTTTAAAGTCCATGATGATACTTAATTTTCTAAAGAGCTAAGCAGTCAGATGATGCACCATATTGCAATACTTTTGGCACACTTGTGGACCCTGGCTGCTCCATATCAGCATTGCTCAGCTAAAACAGCTTTGATAAATCAAATTCATTTCTTAGGTAGAGAGCCTCAACAACAGCAACTAAGAACCACCTAGAAATGACATCTTCTCAATTTCGGATTCATAGCAGATCATGGGTCTGGTATAAAACTAATTCACATATAATTTCAGATTTTTTTTTCTTAAACAAGACTAATATAGTCATTTTTAATATCCTAAATTGTAACCAAGAGTAAAAAATCATTTTTGAGATTATGAATTGCCTATCAACACAACTACACAACAACAGAAAGAAGAATATGAAATGCGTTTAAACTCTGGGTTGTGAACCTCAACACGCCTTTTTGGTTAATAATTTTTTCTAAAAATTCTAGTGTCACACACAATAAATAGTACATTTGATGGGACTCACACAACAGGTAGAACCTGGTAGGAAAAGTAACAGAAGATCAAAAGCTTAAAAAAGTTAACCTGGCTCGCTAACTAACCATTTATATGGAACCAAGGTTGAGCAAAAAGTGTTCAAGATTGGGTAGAAAAGCTTGAAACAATGTTTCCATGTCATCTACTCCATGCTGAGAACTGGCTTGTAGGTTGTCCAATTCCACACTTTAACACTAGTCCCATAGACAAGCCATCATACAAGATAAAAAACTTCCGACTAGACCTAAGTTGAAATTTCGTTGTCTAATGTTGTCAAATATTCCTATTCCTCTTCATTCCTCATCCCTCATGTGTTTGCCTCCCAACAAACTGAAGAATTATTAATTTCATTACCCCAAAACCCCCTCCCAACCACACCAAAAGACAGCACTAAGTGATTACAAAACACAGGATTAAGTCAAAGGCACATGAAACACACACAAACAAAAGCAAAGGGTGGAAGAGAATAAATAGAGCAACTATGCATAGTGGAGTTCCCAGACAGCTTACTTCAAGCGATGGGCACCAAAGTAATCTGCAAAGTGCTGGAGATCTGGAACAGTGTCAAGGTTGAATCCAGTAGCTGATGCACGACCATAGGCTGTGGCTAAATCCTCCCTAACCGCAGCAAGTCTCACATCAATTGCCCTTAGAAGCTCCTTCCTGCATAATAGAACAAGCAACAGAATTAAAAAGCAGTTTTGATAGAGATTAAGCATGGCAAGCACCCATGTACATACAATATCTGACTGTATCTTTCAGCAAAAGTATGTCCAATTTTTAAAACTTCAATGATTAACATGCACAGTTTAACTCTTTTAACAAGATTGCACTGCAACTACTTCAATAGCCAGCTGAAGATGTTCTGGCTTGTGTTTTTGCCTCAAGCAACAAGACTTGGTTATAGGATAACATCTTCATAATCTAATAAGCCCTAGCTGGGAATTACCAGATCCTGAGTATTTTTGCTATTTTATATGGCCTTGAGAGCATGGCCAAGCAGCAAGGCAGAGGACTGCAGTCTGTTTTTCTAAATAATCCCTTAACATGATTAACATTATTAAGAAGGAAAAAAGGTTCAGAACCAGGTTCAATTACGAGATTTCATGTCCAATGCCCCATTCTGCACAAAGGTTATAATGAGACAATCATAGAGACCCCTCTTCAATTATGTCAGCTCCAGAGCAGTCAATGACTGGAAATTGCATGAAAATTCCGGACTTTAAATTAAAAATTTTGATGGCAAGATGAAATTAACAAGCTCAAGTACTAACCAAACATGATCAAAAGCACAGATAGTCACCCCCCCCCCCCCCAACGCACGCACACAACAAAAAATAAATAAATAAATACTGAACCAAAGGTCTTTACTTCGTAGCATCAGCTCCTGCAGTGGTTTCTGTCCTATCCTCACCTGGAGAAAATCACCCACCCAATAAGTCAGCATATGAGCAATAAATATCTTACTCGAAATCTAGGTTGGGAAGAATAATCTAGTACAGAATATTGCATGAATTCTCATATGTTCATTAACAAAGGATACTAAGTTCAAAATAATTTCAGAGCTGAACAACAGGTGGTTTCAGATTTTCTTCACTGCATGTCAAATATAGCTGCAATGCCATACGGTTAGCAAGTAGTAAAGAAAACCAGCATAATCAACATTTTGCAACACCGGTCTTCAAGAAATCAGTTCTGTTTCACATCATCTGACAACTTGTGTTACAACACTTTTCCCATTTCTATGTTTCCGTACCTTTTAACATTTTTTTTTCTTTTCTTTCTTTTTCTTTTTTTTTTTTTTTTTTTTTTGCAACTTTACTTCTGTTCAAGAGACATATTAAGAGCAGAAAGAACAATCCAAATGATAATTTTCTACACTGACCGTGCTTCATATTTTTCATCAACTTCAACCTTTTAAACCAACGCAGGATATGGCATAAAAATAATTATGCCAAGTTTGCCTCTTTAAATTGTTGACCAAACTTCTTTTTGACTAAGCAGAAGATGACAGCAGAGCCATCATTTCGGTAACTAGCACACATATTTCTATATTCACTTGCAATTAATATGCCAAGAACCACAATGTTCCTAGACCATGCTCAAACCCACACTGCTTGAGACCAGAATCAAATTTGAGAATGTTCAAAGGCAGGTCAGCACCATCCCTATCCCACAACTAACGCATTCAGTGCACTGTCAGCACCACGTAAACAAATCAAGGAAACAGAACCAGGAACCTTGGCACTTACAATTAAAACATATGTTTCCATCTATTCAGATTTCACTTGGCATCCCTCTATTGCTTGCCTACAACCTTTTCATCTCGTCAAATGAAAGCAAGCTTGAACCCTGATTTATCATGAGAAATGGTCATACCTCGTGAACTCACTGAGCACGCAATCACTTAGCAATATTGTTGAATGTTCGCATGAAGGAACAGGGATCACCTGTCGGGATTGCCTGTCAATCGCAACAGGGGATGAAACAACAAGCAAACTTCATCCCATTCGAGAAAGCGGCTTTTGCTTTTAGGCTACTATCTTGACCAAATTCAGCTTTTACAGAATCTTTAACATCTTCTAACTACTAACTCATTCTCTACCATGCTTCTCCACCAACATCCAAATGTTCAATTTCCAAGTAGAAGTTCTGTTCTTTGTCACTGACTCTAATATAACTCTATCAAGCCTTTGCTCAGCTTTCAAATGAAACTCACACAAACTAGCACGGCTCAGTAACTAATTCACATTGTACCCGATAACATTCGCTAATTCCATTATACACCAGAAATACTATCAAAATGACTGACTATGACTAGTATCGATCATCCTTATTCCTTGTATCAATTGAAGGCCATTAGACAAGAAAACCCCTCAAAAAGTGGTAGCAGATGACATTTCAATTGTAAAACTAGAAAGCATAAGGTGAATATTGATTGTTAAAAAAGAAAGCATAAAATATTGATATGAACTATTGTATGCCATATCCTTAATTACTACAATAAATATTAGCTCTTGCTAAAGAATTCCAGATGTAAAACACAAGACCTCACAAATAATTTCTGAACTGCCGGTTGGCGTAAGTTTTAATTTCTAGTTATTTCCACTTCTGCATAATTTATGGCAATCCAAGGTGTCATATTCTAATAATGATGGTAGTGATTAAGGAAACTCTTCAGGAATCTAGATATAAACGAATCTTTTCAAGACAGCTTGTAGGTGTATATACATTAATGCATGTGAAAGGAGTTCCTTAAATCTTCAAATTCACATGTTTGTCACAGTAAAAGCATTTGTTAATTACCAGGACTTTAGACATCAATGCACTATATATCTAACAACATATACAAGTTATCTACACTAAATACCATAAAAGAAAGAAATTTAGAAATTTTCTTTTAGAACTGGGACAGCTAGGATGTCAATGGGACCCAAAGTGGTATCGAGTCGCTGCTGGTTCTGAAGTTAGTGTGTAACTAGAGTAAGAGACCAGGAAAATGTGCATGACTATATAGATTATCATACTGAATTATTTTAACTGTGTAGCTGGTATTAGTTTCCCACTTATCAATCAGCACACATTCATTAAAGAATCGGATTTGAGGCACCTCTGACCATTAAATTTGGACATGTACTATAAATGTCTAAATTCCATGAGACAATATCTACGCTAATCTAAAAAGAAAGAGAGAAACATACACACCTAAAACACCGAAAAGTTGATCTCCAGACCCCTGAATCAAAGGATCCTCAAATTCAGTGAGAACTGCTTTTTCCAATACTCATGAATATTCCCTACTCGATAAAATGCCACTAATTACCTGAGAATATATTTTCCGTGCTGCTTCTAACTGAGACATCTCCACATCAAATGTATTGACCATCTCTAAAACCTCAGGTGTAGTGACAAAACACACAAACCTGAAAACAAGACGTGCGATCATGTCAAAAGATGAACCAACTATTTCTTTCTACAGCAACAAATTGTCTCAGTTGGCACTGTATGCAACCTCTCGAGTGTTCCTTTTGTGAACCAAGTCTCAGCATTTCTACGTTGGTCAACCTCTAGTTTAATTGACTGAACTGCCTGTGAAGCTTGTTCTTCTGCAACCTTCAAATGAGTTAAAAATGGCTTTACTGATCCGGACGCAAGCTTCTCTGTGTTTCCATTGCTCCAAGCAAAAAAGTCACATCTGCCAAAAAGGAAAAATCCATTAATTTATCAAAATCAATAAATATATATATGGAAATATAACGAGCACATAAAACTTTATGAATAAATACTCACCGCGTCAGATTTGGTGACAGTTCAAACACAGCATAGTCGAGAACTGTATTGGATTTCATTTTCTCACCAGTATATTTAAAGTAGTTCTGTATGCTCCAACCTCCTCATATAACTGGATGTAGTCAAGTCTTGATTAATTAAGTCTCAGAAATAAGCAGAACTTCAGTCCAAAAAAGAAACCAACCCACAAAGCAAATTCTGAAAGCAAAAAGAAAACCAATAAATGGATTACCAATTCTACAGTTCAAGCTGATTAAAAACCAGTTTAAACTCCAAATATGCAAATCAAACCAGGAAACCAATAATTTACTACCCACATTACCAATCCAAATGGGACAAAACATAAAATAACCATCCAATGGTTAAAACTTAAAACTTATTAATTGCAATGCCAGAAAATGAAAATACGGATCTCAATAACAAAAAAAAAAAAAAAAAAAAAAACAGTTGCCTAAAATTAGCCATAACTCAAAAACAGAAACCATTACTTAACAAAGAACAATCAAAACAAAACCCAGATCTGATTCTATCAAAACCCAACCCCAAATGCCTGACCCAAAATAAAATCAAACAAAACCCATTGATAGAGATACTCATACTAATACAAAAATGCACCAACTTTGTATGTAAAGAATCCAACTTTTTTACCCCAAAAGAAAAAAAAAACAAAGATTAAGAGAAATGTGGGTTAAATCATACCTGATAGACCAATCAGTCAGATCTTAAATGGGTGAATCGGATCCTATAATTCAAAGTGAGTACCTGCATTTGGATAGTAGCTCTTCTTCTTTTTTATATGTATTCTTTTCTTTAAAGAGATTACCTTTTTTGGGTTTCTGGGTCTCTTTATTTTATAAATTTGTATTTTTTTTCAGTTCTAAGAAAACCCTAACAATGACAAGATGGTTTTTGCTTTACTCATTTCTCAAATGCCAATCTTTTCTTCTCTTTTGGCTTTGCTTGCTTTCTCTCTCTACACACTCTCTCTGTAGTCTGTACAGGAAGAGAGAGAGAGAGAGCTAGTGCTAGTCTATGTGTGCTGGTCTTTTGTTTTGTTTTCAGACATTAACTTTTTGTTTGTAATTTAAAAAAAAAAAAAAAAAAAGGTTAATTACAAAAAAGTTGTCAAAGACAAAAGACTCACTGTGTTGGTATTTGAATTTGCCAAAATAGACTTGGGTGCAGTGGAGTCAATTACTATACTGTCCAACAAAGTGTAGAATTTGGAGGCTGTAGGATTTATCGTTTTATTGGGAGTTAATTACAGTGTTCGTGAGTGGCAATATATGAGAGTAATATGGTAAGGATTGAGTTAGCAACAGCTTTATTGCTATTTGTGTGCCATTAACAAACCTATCTTCTTCTTTTTTTTTTTGAAAAATCTATAGAATCCTAATTATCTGATTTTTTTTGGAAACACAATTTTGTGAAATCTATAGATAAATTTAGCAATTTTTTAATCCAAAGCTGATTAAAAAAAAATGATGAATCTTTTAGAATGGTATTTATAAATTCATAAAAACCTCAATTTCCAAAATTTATATCACCTATTTTAGTAAATATTTTTTATATGGCAATATACTTTTAAGTGATCACAACAAATTCTATAGCAAAAAAGGAAATTGATGATTTATTTGGAACGTTAAGATAATTCTTAACAAGTTTTGCAAGACCAATAAAAGTCAGCCCTAAATATATTGTTCAATGATAATTACTTATTTGCAAAAACAAAGCAAATTCAAATTATATTTTTTTAGTTAAGATGGATTGATAAATTTTAAATTGGTGTAATTAGTTTTAAAAAAGTCTTTCCAGGTCCCAAAGAGAACAATATAGCATTTTCAAGAGTTGAGCGGAGTGGAGTTCGTTGATTCAATTCTTGTCATTGGTTCCTTGTTTTCTTTTTTGTTTTTTTTTATCTTTTTAGTTAAATTTATGCAATAGAGTTTCTCCATGTGTGAATTTTATTCATTTATAAAAGTAATATACAAAATATATATGCGGTTGGATTCCTACATATATATATACATTGGTACGAAAAATATAATGTTTTATACTAGATATACCATTAATCTATTTACACAAACTTATTTTTAAATAAAAAAATATAAATTACATCAATTTATAAAAGTAATATGCAAAATGAAATATGATCTTAGGTCTTTTTTTATCACGATGCGATAATTATCATGGGTTTGTTTTTATCTTATTTTGTAGCATTTGATACAAGTTTTAATAAAAAAAAAACAAGTAAATAATAATTTTTAGGTTAAATTAAAACCTTACATCTAAGGTTTGGTGGTAGAGGTACTCAACTCTCAGCCCTTCTCTTTATTTTTAATTCCATTTATTTAATAAAAACCTTGAATAAGTTGTTGGTAAAATTATTTATTATATTACAATTTATTTTTTAATGTGATGACATATTTTACAAACATCGCAACCATAACAATCATTATATTATAGATTGTTTTATATTAATTAATTCCATAAACGTTGAATTTAAGATGTTAGACATACACAAATATATATGTGTGTGTATATATATATATATAACATGTGGTACATCAGCTTCCACTTTTACGATGATGAGAAAGGGTATAATTGTCCAACAAGGATATGGCATCATATCTTGATTGAACTGGACCACAGTGTGGACTGGGGTCATTTTAGTACTCTCCAAGCAAAATCGAGTGAGGTCAACCGTCTCCATTCCTGTGTTAAGAGAGATTCTAAAACTAACGGTTCTTTAAAAATAAAGTTTGAAAGCGAAAGATGGGCATGTCGTGCGATTCAAGTTTTAAGCTTGGCTTTTTATCCTTTTCCACAAAAAAATCATTGTTGAATAATTTTATTACGAATTTACCGAGTAAATTATAAATTAATCCCTTCCGCGTCAAGAAATAAATTAATTAATTTTTTTATTTTAAAAAATAATAATTTAACCTTTGTATTTTTAAATATATTTGTAATTAAATTATTTTTTAAATTGTTTTAATTTTTTATTTAAAACAATATAAAAAATAGAAAGATTGATGAGAAAATAAAATATTTTATAAAATAAAAATAATATTAAATTAAGTATGATCAATACTTATCAAAAGATAACATAATCATTTTTTTAAAATAAAAAACTAATTAATTCATTTTAAAAAAAAAACTAGAAGGATCAATTTATAATTTACTTCGAATTTACCAGAATTTCCTTCCTTTAAAAGTCCACCAAATATTGTCATGTCTTCTACTCCACTTATTCAATTAAACTTATTAAACCCATTGCAGTCAGCACAATTAAAAATGGAGTCTTTCTGTCATACCCATAATAATTATATTAGTATATTCTCGTTCTACTAAAAAATGGATACATAGAGAAGAAGTTCGTTTGATAAGAATGTGAATATATATTTTTTAATGGCGAGAAATACATTTTCAAATCAGAGGAGGGTGTCGTTAGCTTTGCAATTCAATTTTAAAATTTGCTTTGTATTTGAGACTCTACATGGTTGTTAAAGGATAGTGATTTTTTTCTTCTTTCATTTTAACCTAGATAGTCACGTTCTTGACCGCAGTATGTTTGAGAGTTTATAATTACATGAGATTAAAAAATACCAATATATTTAGAGTGAACTGCCATGTGTTAGTTTTTAACAGATGCATATTGCCTATACTAATGTATTTATAGGGAATTGTCATGTGGTAGTATTTAACTGATGTATATTGCCTATACTAATATATTTAGCGTGAATGGTCATGTGATAGTGTTTAACTGATGTATATTGCCTAACGTTTGAATTTTTTTTTTTCCTATTTGAATTCCTCCAATCACATGATGCTAGAAAATACTGACTTGATTGGGATCTAGAACGAGCAACAATCATTAACCAACATGTGATAAATAAATGAGTTCCACACGAATTTATATAAAAAAATACATTAAAAACTTTTATTGAAAAAAGTAGCTGACAATAATTAAAAAAAATAAAAATCAATTATTATTAGCCTAATGAACTCGGTAATTTTGCTAACCAATATATTAAAACACTTCAAATATATCATTATTTAAACATTTCTTTTACTTAATCCAATAGTTTTAATCTTGGGGCATTTAAACAATTCAAGTTTATTCAATCAAGTTAATTGATTTGGATTTTGTTTAATTCTCGGCAACTATTTTTTTATAAATATTTTTTCCTCAATAAATTTGAGTGAAATTTATTTTTTGTTGTGTGTCGAGTTAAAAACCACTATGTGTTAGTGAATTTTGATCACATCAGTATATTATAGTCTTAGGTGATCAAGAAAATTCAAATAGGAAAAAAAATAAAAAATTTGATACTCAAACGAAAAAATAATCAAATACTAGGCACTTAAATTGTATTCTTTTTCTAAATAATCAAAGTGAAATCTATTTTTTATCACGTGTTAGTTAAAAATTGTCATGTGGTAGTTTATTTTGGACACACCGAGTATTTTTTTCAAATTTAAATAAGCGTGAACGCTTAAAAAGGAAAAAAAATCTAAAGATGGACATTAAAAATACAATTTTCTCTTACATAATATATACTTGTTAACCATGTCTTCAAACACTTATGTGATAAAAAAAATAATAATAATTAAAAAAAAATCTTCAAGTAGGACACATATTGGTTCGCGTATCCCCCAATGAGTCTTCTAATACTTGCATAACGTTAAAAGTAAAAACTTGATTATGGTTATTTAAAAGTATTATAATTACAATGCTTTCAAATTTATGAAATAATAAGATAATGTTTACGACGCAATAAGTGTAAAAACTTACGATTTCTTCATTACTTAAAAATAACATATTTAAAATTAAAAAGAATTTTTTTTCTCCAAAGCAATGATAAGAATTTTTTATTTTAAAATTATACTCATTTTTTACAAGAATCATAACTATGCGCAATTAGCTAAATTACGAAAAGATAAGATATTTTTTGTTATAGCATATTTAGTGAATCTATTAAACTAGTTGTAATCACTTGGTTGTTATGAAATAAATGATATTTATTTTTATTTTCAAGTGAAAATGTAATTTTCA